ATGCTGGTCTGTCCTTGAGTTGAGGTTTCCTGACAATGCTAATGGTGCAACAGTGATTCTCCTGGGGCTAGAGAACTACTGGGCCTCATACTAGAAGCCTCAAGTCCTCCCCCCTTCAGGGGGGCTTATATAACTTATACGTGCTATAATTGCTACTAACCAGGAGGAAGTTTTATGCCACCAATGGAAACCAGTCACATAGTGCCTCCTTCTGGTCAGTAGCAATTATAGCACAATGGTAACGCTCTACAGCAGGGTTCCTCAACCTTGGCCACTTGAAGATGCGTGGACTTCAGCTCTCCATGGCTGGCTGGGGGATTCTTGGGGTTGAAGTCCACGCATCTTCAAGTGGCCAAGGTTGAGGAACCCTGCTGTAGAGCGTTACCATTGTGCTATAATTGCTACTGACCAGAAGGAGGCACTATGTGACTGGTTTCCATTGGTGGCATAAAACTTCCTCCTGGTTAGTAGCAATTATAGCACGTATAAGTTATATAAGCCCCCCTTAAGAGGGGAGGACTTGAGGCTTCTAGTATGAGGCCCAGTAGTTCTCTAGCCCCAGGAGAATCACTGTTGCACCATTAGCATTGTCAGGAAACCTCAACTCAAGGACAGACCAGCATTCAAGCTTTCAGCTATGCTTGAGTTGCTCCTGACCTGTGGGAAGGCGATGGGCATTATGATCAAAAGGAGCAGGAAGTTAACTCTATCATACTGACATATTTATCTGTGGGAAAGCTAAGGATGAATGTAGGTGGATTGGATTTAGGACAGAGACTACTACTGACGCTATCTGGCCCAGTATTGACTTGGTTTTGTACATCCTGACTCAAGCCCAAGTTTTTGTAAGGCCTTTTTGGCTAGCTATAGTAGTGGTGAAAGGAGTCCAGTGTCTGGGCACTTCTGAAGGAAAATATACTAAGCGAACAATCACAAACAGTTCCAGAACAACCACAAATAGGAGTTATATTATACAAGAGTGTGGGTGTTGTGTAGCCTTGCAGATGAGAAGCAACCCCAAATGAGCTTGGAACAGTACAGGTGGTCCTCAGTTAACAACCACTGGTTCAGTGACCATGCAAACTTGCAACAGCATTGAATGAGTGGTACTTATGACCAGTCCCTGAAGTTCTGGCTATCGCAGTGCCCCTGCGGTCACACGATCGCAATCCGGGTGCTCAGCAACTGGCCTGGATTTTTGGCTGTTGCAGCATCCCGCAATCATGTGATTGCCACCTTCCCTGCTGGCTTCCCACAAGCAAAGTCAATGGGGGAGCCAGCAGGAAGTCAGAAGTCGCAGTCACGTGAGGTCCTCACTTAATGACAGTAACCGGGAATTGCCAGACCTGCCATTGCTAAGTGGCATGGTCATGTGATGTCAAGTTTTATGACCGCATCTGTGATGGACTGGAATGGCGGGAGGGGAATCAAGAATGTGCTCTCATCTCCAGAGGAGTGAGGAAGAGATAAGCGGAGGAGACTGGCACCTCCCTAAGAAATTCCAACGGTGGGAACTGACTGAGCTGGGGAACTGGAATCATTCTGGGGAGATTCTTGTTAAGAGGTTGTAGCTAATAAACCTTGCTGGATTGATTCCATTCCCCAGCTCAGTCAGTTCCCACCGTTGGAATTTCTTAGGGAGGTGCCAGTCTCATGTGCTTATCTCTACCGCGCTCCTCTGGAGATGAGCACACATTCTTGATTCCCCTCCCACCATTCCAGTCCATCACAGCATCACTTAGTGACAGAAATTCCAGTCCCAATTACCATTGTTAAGCGAGGACTACCTGTACCTAAAGCTGCAACCTGGCCTGTACAGCATCTTCATTCATCTTGTTGCTGGCTCTTGATATAAACCCAACCAATATGCCTCTAAAATCACAATTGTTGTCCTAGTGCACTCTGCAAACTAGACTGATTCTAGTTTATTTAATAAACTATGATTAAATAAAAACTAATTTGGCATTTGCTGTGTTCCCAGTGGTAGTGAAAAAAATTAAAACTCCAGACAAGCTCTTTCTTCTCTTCCTGAGAAGAAAGGGAACAAGAACCTGAGATTAGCTTGGCCCCCACTTTGCTGGTTCTTTGTAAGGCTTTGAAGACCTGGTTCTGTGCCCAAACCTGGGGCCCCAGGCGTGGGACGGAGCCTGTTCCTTGGCTAGGTTGAAGTCTTTTTATGATTCTCCGTCTGCTGTGTGTTTTATTTCCTGTTTTCTTGTAATCTTTGTGATTGCACAGTTTTACAGTAATTGTTTTTAAGGTTGTGAGCCAATATTAAGTGAAATACTTCAGATGGGCAGCTTTATAAATCAATCAATCAAGCAAACAAACAAACATTGTAGAAGCCAGAGGAATAGGAAATAAATGCTGAGGACATCATCGAGTAAGAATGGTGAAAGTGCTAGATGGTAGATGTTCAACTCTCACTTTGTTAGCTAAATTTGAGAGTTTTTGACTCTCCTCAATTCGGATTCAGTCCGGCAGAAGATCAGACATGAAAATACCAGCTGAGATTTTAGTTTTATTGAAAGCTTGCCAATAGAGTCAGCCGGGGTCTCCCCTTAAGACAGAGAAGAACCCTGGTCACACCCAAAGAAGACAATCTTATACATGTTTCTTACAAAGAGGTACAGAAATTAACAAATGATTGGCTGAAATTGGCATAAATTGGATCCTCATTATTGGGGAAAACTTATCTTCCTGATGACCTATTGGTTACTAGTCAGAGTTTGGGGACACCCCCCTCTGATCTTCTGAATGTTTTTGTTTCCTAGAATGCAGATTGGGGTCACTTCCTCCCATGTCTTTATGGCCTCAACACTTAAGGAGACAGGATGTCTGCCTAAAGCCTTTCAACATAACAGAGATGAGGGAAATG